CCGCGGACCCTCTTCCCGCTCCATCGTCCTCCGGCACCCCTGCCAGCGTGGGCTCCTTCCCGCCCCCCTCCCCCAGGGTCACTATGGGGACGCGAGGGAGAGATTTGTGTTTAATTCCTGCCGCTATTCAGAGGGAAGAGAAAATAAAGGGACCGAAGGCAACCAGAAAGCAGTTTACTTCAAGCCTTTATTATTGTAGCTTAAAAGAAGTTTATATACAGGAAATATTTCCAGCGAAACACTTACCAAGTGGCCTTCGAATCGGGGGCCCTCCATCCCCTGCCCCATGATCAGCAGCTCTGTCCAGGGCTCCCCTCATTTGGGGGTCCCGGGCATTCCCCCCACCTCTCTTTCCCCGGAAAGCGCCGCGTTCCCAGGAGTCCCAGCCTCTACTCCCTCCTCGGGGCGCTGCGACCCTCGCCAGTGCCTCCCGAGCCACCCTCCTCTGGTCCCAAAGCTGACCCCCAACCGCCCTCTCCCACCCCATTTCAGCGCAATCTCCCCCGCTTGGTTTGGGCGCCGCTTCCGAGCCCCCTGCAATTCAGAACCGGCCCGTGGTCAAGACCAGTTAGAGACAGTTCGTCATCAGCAGCGGGGCTCGTGCGCACCCAACACCTGGGTGGGAAGACCACCCTGTCCACCCCTTCCCCATCCCCAACTCAGGGACAAGAAACATACACAGAAGCAGCAGGCACCCCTCCCCGCGCGCGACAGGTGGGTGCCAGGCAACTAGCTAGCTCCAGCAGAGCTGAGCGCCTACTGGAACCCAGCTGCGCCCCGGGCGCGCGGGCGTGTCCAAGGTCTCTGCGCTGCGGGAGGCGCGGGGCCAACGCGCGCGGCTCTCCCCTGAAGGCGCGCTGGGGGAGCCCTAGGCTCTCCAGCTGTAGGGATGAGTCCTGGGGGCATGCAGGCTAGGGTGGCCCCACCCACACCCAGAAAGGGATTTTGAGTGGGAGACAGTCACAGAAGACGAGTCCCGGGGAGGCAGAGGGGAGCGTTCAGGTGGCCAAGGGCCCAGGCTCAGTGTGAAACCCGTGCCTCAGGGCATCTGTGTCACTGAGGCCTCGCCAAGCGTGGCTTAGCCTGAGAGGCGCTTGCACGCGGGCTTCGAAGGCTCGAAGGTGCACGCGGGCTTGGAAGGCTCGAAGGCCCAGTCCGCCAAGTTCGGCCAGTGGTCCGGTGGTTGTCTACACCCTGCGGGGCGGCGCCCCGTGCAGCTGCTCGTCATAGCGCTCCAACCAAGTGCGCAGCTCGGACACCTGGTAGCCGTCAGGGCCACGGCCGCCCTGGTACATGATGGTGCCGCTCTGGACCACGTAGAGGCGCTCGAAGTAGGCTCCGTAGGCCGAGCTGCTGGAGTTGGCCATGGTGTCGAGCACCAGGGCGCAGCCGGGCGCCCCTTGCTGCAGCACCCGCGCTGCGCTGACGCGGTCCTCCAGGCTCCGGTGCTGCGGGATGATGTAGGGGGAGTCCGTGGTGACCCAGCCGTCGGAGGGGTGCGCCTCCTCGATGTAGATGATGAGGAAGTCGACGTCGCGCTGGTACTTGGTGACCAGGCGCTGGAAGGCGCTCATGCGCGCCATGAACGGCGGTCAGGTGCAGCTGCCGAAGTTGAGCACCAGCGGGCGGCTCCCCTGCGCGTAGTCGAGGATGCGTCGGCTCTGGAAGCCGTCGGGCAGGACCACCTCGGAGTTGGGCGCCGGGCCGCCCTC